TTGCTCCAGGTTATGATTTCAACTTGGGCTGACATGGGATTCGGAAAAAGCTCAAACAGTAACTAAACTTGGCTGTTAAAAATAATATATAATAAATGGGGGAGGGGGCAAAAGACAGGTTTGAATGAGGGTACGGCTTTGCGAAAATCTGAACTAGGAACTAACGTAAGGGAGGGTTTGAGCTAATCTCGAAAAGGAACTATAGGGAGGGCTTGATTCCGAGCAAATCTGCACAAGGAACTAGCAGAGCCCGACACACTCTTCTCTGCAGGTAACATTGAAAATTGGAATTACCACACAGCTCCAAATTATCTGGATACTAGATGAAAGGGCCACACAGATTTTACCTGCACGGTGCCTTACCTGGTCCCAGATAAAGGCTGACACAGATATTACCTGTACAGAGCCTTATCTGGATACCAGATGAAAGGGCCACACAGATTTTACCTGCACGGTGCCTTGCCTGGTCCCCAGCTGAAAGGCTGATACACTATATTACCTGTATGGTGCCTTACCTGCATACCAGATGAAAGGGCCACACAAATATTACCTGTATGGAGCCTTACCTGGCACCGTGTACCTGGTCCTGGATACCAGATGAAAGGGTCACACAGATATTACCTTACCTGGTTCACAGATGAAAGGGCTACACAAATACAAAACATACTGGTATTATATAATTACCTGCACGGTGCCTTACCTGGTTCACAGACAAAAAGGTCATATTTTTACCTGTTCTGTGCACAATTCACCTGCACCAAACCTGCACATGTACTACTACTACTAGTAGCTTTATATAAAAATGTAGGCATATTTGAATTTTTAGTTGCTGCATGACTGTTAAACCATGTGTTAAGTTTAAAAGAAATGATGGCAATACTAGTAGGTTCCAGTTTTCAATGTAATCCATAATGTTCTGAGTGGTACAGGTAAAATGTGTCTGGTGCAGGTGATTTTCAATTATTGTAATTCGAGAGACTTTCAGCTGTGGACCAGGCAAGGCACTGTGCAGGTAATATCTGTGTGGCCCTTTCATCTGGTATCCAGATAAGGCTCTGTACAGGTAATATCTGTGTCAGCATTTTATCTGGGGACCAGGTAAGGCACCATACTGGCAATATTGTGTGTCAGTCTTTTATCTGGGGACCAGGTAAGGCACAGTATGGGTAATATCTGTGTGGCACTTTCATCTGGTATCCAGATAAGACTCCGTACAGGTAATATCTGTGTCAGCCTTTTATCTGGGGACCAGGTAAGGCATCGTACAGGTAATATCTGTGTCAGTCTTTCATCTGGTAACCAGGTACGACTCCATACAGGCAATATCTGTGTTGGCCTTTCATCTGGGCACCAGGTAAGGCACCGCACAGGTAATATCTGTGTCAACCTTTCATCTGGTATCCAGATAAGGCGCCGTACAGGTATTAGTAATATCTGTGTCAGCCTTTTGTTTGGGGACCAGGTACGGCTCCATACAGGTAATATTTGTGTCAGCCTTTTATCTGGGGACCAGGTACGGCTCTGTACAGGTAATATCTGTGTCACGTCTGAATCAACTGATTAAACACTTTGACAAGTTCAAATGCAATACATTCTATAATTCATTTTTATTAACAATGAAGTACAGTCCTCATAAATTCTTTTTCTGGATTACAAGGAAGTAATGGTCCATCAAACTTGTGGTACAGTAGTGCACCGTGAACCCGTAACACAGTGAACCCGTAGCACAAAGTTACACCTAGCTCAGTGCACAGTTGACCAGTAACAGCACATAGTCTGTGCACAGTAAACCTGTAACACATGGCTTCTGTACACAGTGAACCAGCAACACATAGCCTGTGCTCAGTGAATCAGTAACACCTAGCTTGGTGTCAGTAAAATCCAATTTTAGATCTTGGGGGCCACTACTGGCACTATGTACAGCTTTTTTTCATGAAAAACTTATACTAGAATACAGTATTTCAGACCAGGATTATATTGTACATACAGAATAAAATGTTCCATTAAACAAGGTTAGAGCATGGTTGACTTCTTCATTGCAAAGTTAAATCCTTTTTAATCACTCCCAAGCAAGAAGTGGACTATTCCAGGATATTCCTACTAGTAATATATAAATGCAAGTTTTTTTGGACACACAGGACCCCCCTCCCCTCCCCTCCCCATCAGGAATTGGACTTCTCTGCAATCACCAGTCCTGCACCAAAACTGCAGAAATCTTACACATTAACAAGTTTTAAGTCATTTGGGTTTTCATTGGATTACGGTCAGCATCATTTTTGGCAAAACTACACCCAAAATGATTGTAACTGATATTAAGATGAAAGTTATTCATGTACTGATGGCTTAAAGTACAACCTGCGGGTAAAATACTAGTATGGGCTATGCAGATATTTCTCATGTCTACCTGCACCTTGAGTACAATGTTTAGAAAATTGTTATGTGGTAACAGAACATAACTTTTCATTGAGTTTTTCTTCTATTTATTTCACATACAGGTGTCAAGAATCAACATGTGGCTGGCATATTGTCTTCAAAATGCAGAGCCTATCAGGACAACCTATTAACTGGACCATATAATGCATACCTATGTAAGAGTGCTGTACAACCAGCCACTGTCTTAGAGGAATGCTTTTTTTGCCATATATTTCCTCAATGCATATAGGAATATCAGCTGTACTCAATTAGTTATGATTAGTTAGTTCACATAGAAACATAATGACAATGCAGAACATCTAGGTTTAGAAACAGCATGATATCATTCCTTGTTGAGCTACTGAATGGCTAATCTTCCCGGTCCTCTCTATATATTTATGGTAACCATTTTTAGATAACGTTTCTTTTACTTGTCAAATATGCTTGTCAATTCAGTGATTGTAGCTGTAATGGCATATTATTATTTATTTTATTGAAATAAACCTGTTATTCATATCTTTCATGTTATATTCAAATTAGGCAGTAATGCTAGTTTAAGGTAACTGTACACTAGAGATGCATCACTTCGTTAAACAGTCACAGCGCATGGTACACTACGCAGATGACAGGTCGATACTGCAGGGCGCACTGAAAGGTCCCACCGTGCTGTAGACGTCCATGGCCCTCACAGCGAAGTGGTAGGTGCCCCGGGGTAGGAAATTAGTCAGCGTACAGGCCATGGGGAGAGGCAAGGCCTTCACGTCCCCGATCTTCTTCCACAGCGCCGTGTTGGGCTGCCCGGTGCCCTCCTGGTACGCGAACAGCTGGTAGCAGTAGAGGGTGGGGGAGCGCGGGTTGGGCGGCTCACTGACGTCCCACGTCAGCGCGATGATGTTCCCCACCCGGGCGATTTGCAGGGTGGTTCTGTGGGGGAGGGGGAGGCCGGCGATCTGGGGGCGTAGCTGCTGGGGGGGTGGGG